TAGTGAAATTCTGTATCATTTCTAATTTTTTTAACCATTTTGTATTTTCTTTAAATAAGAAAACATGTCAAACTTCTAAAAACACTTTAGTAGTAAAATAAAGTAACTAATGTCTTTCAGCAAAAAAAAAAAAAGAAAGAAAAATAATTTAGCCACATGATGACAGCTGTTTTCTGTTCTACCAAAACTAAAATAACTCAGAAGTGTTAATTTACTTATCATAACTGTTATTGTAATTATCACATCTACCATCATTTCTTTTCTGTAATACTGGAAAAAATAACTGCTTCTTCTCCTTCTCCTCCTCTTCCTCCTCCTCCTCCTCCTCCTCCTCCTTCTCCTCCTCTTCTTCTTTCTCTTCTTTCTCCTCTTCTTCCTCTTCACTTTCTTCCTCTTACTTTTCCTCTCCCTCCCTTCCTCCTTTCCTTCAGAAAATCTCCTATATTCCCATACTTCATCAGTCAATTGAACATTTGAACACCTAAAAACATATGCAACCCAGACTGTGCCTCCCTCAAGCTTACCTCCCAAATAACAAAGCTCTCCTAAACATAGTAAAACTGAGTATAGTCTTTCTTGTTAATTTCTCTGTAAGATAGAATATAGACATTACAGAGATTGTCAGTGAACAAACAGAAAAATGTACAAGTATTTGATCTTAATGTAAATTAACTTTTTGTTATGAGTGTTAGTAGTATTATAGATAGACACCATAATCATACTACATTTAATCGGAAGTACATATGATTAAAACATTTTTTGTGTCTTATATAATCATGGCTTACTTCATGACTTCAAATCATGGCTTACTTCATCAGCTATTTACATGTTCAGTTACTACTCAAATTGAAAAATAAAAATACCTTTGAATAAATTTAAAACTAGACATCATAGTGTAGTATACATTCCATAACAATACTACTGGAAAGTCTTGGCCAGATTTTCAATAGTGATAAATAAAGTCCTATTTGTGAAAAAGAAAGTCTATTTACAACCTCATATGCAGAACCACAAAAAAGAAGGCAAAGTTCTGGGATACTTCAGCAGTAAAATAAGGAGTGGATATGAAGATAATTTTGAGACATTTGTAGAATTGGGTACACCTGGAAAACAACGTTAAATGAAATATATTGGATGCACATCTTTTTTAACATAACATTGTTTATTATGTGAAATTTTGACAATACAAACAAAAATACAGAAATACAATATATAGATAACAGCTTAATTCAAAACAATGACTTCTTAGGAGACCATCATGTCTATTTCTAGTAAAATAAAGAGACTACGTATAGGTAGAAACAGATTGGTCATTAGCTTTATTATTTGCTTAGAAATTATCTATAAATTAATTTGCACCCTGCTGCTTACCATAACGTGTAAAAAGGGAGTTAAAAGAAAGTTTCCTTGATGATTTCTACCATACGAAAGATGTTATACTGTATTTTAGCCACGCTGATATACAAAAAATATCTAAATTTAATGCTGTTACAAAAATGAAGCAGTAATGAGATTCTGGCTAAAGAGGGCTCAAAATGAGAATAATATATACTTTAAAGAATCCAAAATAAACAAATGGTTGTTATTTAAAAAAAAAGCTCTAGGTGCACTGTAAGCATATAGATTTTTCTCCACATGTTCTTTTAAATAATGAAAGTGTCAAAAAAAATATGGTCAGCTGTGTTAGACTACATTACACTATTGTACAGGCTGCATTGAATAGAACCTCTGTACAATAATTATAATGAAGCATAGTTTGCATCATATTATGGCAATTTATGCTCAGTGAAAACCTTCCAGAGTCCTTTTATTTTGGAATATCCTGTAAACAGTCAAACCACCAGATTGAATAATGAGTCAATTAGTATTGACTTTCCTTACCAGATTCACCTGTGTATTGGCTTGGCATTTTTAATTCACATCCTTTGCCAAGTCATCTACTTCTACTACCATAAGTGGGAATTCAAGCTCTCTCCTCACTGATTTTCACCATATACTTGATTTGGGAGGTTGGCACTTTCCACATAGCCTACAAGGTTCTTCAGTTGGGCTACCATGGTCCCCTATGCATACTTCTCAGAAGCAGTGGATCTTGCCCAGATGCACATCTTAAATATCATATGGCATCACTCATTTCAGTACAGCAACATACAAATAAAGTACATCAAGTACTTTATGATATGATAAAAGAAACAAATGAGAAGCGTTCCAGGAGCCCAAGGGATAGGGTAAACATTGTATGCTCTATACATGAACTGAAAATAATAATAATGATAATGAAAATAAGGAAAGGGGCATTAGAAACAGGGAGAGAGGTCAGTGGGGAGGGGAAGGGGATTAAAAGACAATCAAGATGTGCTATGTATATATACCTACTCCCTAAAATGAATGTAATCTTTATATCAAGCATATACTAATAAAATATTTTTAAATAAATAAAAAAAGCATAACACATTTGCCTTCAACTCTTCATTTCTCTGTTGGTTCTTTAAGGCAAATGTTTTGTTTTTATTTGGAATCATAAAAGAAACATTTTAATAAATCCTTAAATTCTTCTTCATTAATGCGATTTAAATAATAAATTTACATAACGATTGAACTGATTTACTTACATACTTTCAACTGTAGAAAAATTATTTGTGTGTGTGTGTTTATACTATCACACCCAATCAAGCCGAACCCAATCATTAACTAAAGTGATTAATGAATGCAGCATTAGCTGATGGCTTTAAATTTAGAATGTGTTACTGATGTCAGGCTTGATTAGTTTTCTATCTAAAACTGATGCTGCTAAAAGCTTTGAGCAATTCAGATGTAATCACTGAGGTTTTTCCAGTAGAGTAACAGAAATTCTATCAGGATCCAGAATTAATTGTTTGTTGGACTTCCTTGTAGGGAGGGAGGGATAGGGAGAGGGGGTTGAGACAAGAGACAGACAGACAGACAGAGACCTTTTACTGATGGGATGAGATGGGAAGAACAGGAGAACAGGAAGCAGTGGAGAAGATCAGGTAGCATCAATCATGGCAAAGGTGAAGAATCTTAATATAAAAATATCTCATCTTTTTCCGACAAATCACAAAATGGTTTAAGGGTGCGAATACTGATCATTTAAGCTACATAACTTGTCAAGAAGCAAGAATAATAAATGAAGGAAAGGCAGAAGGTTAATACAGCCCCATTCCTTGGGAACTTCTCTAAAAATGAACTCACAGGAAAGTCATTAGAGTCAATGGTGGAGACCAACATTTTTATTTTATTTTTTTAATTTTTTTATTTATTTATTTGTGTGTGTGTGTGTGTGTGTGTGTGTGTGGCCAGCTCAGCCCACCAGGGGGTGGGGCTGGTTGGCATGTGGTGCTGGGGGATTGAACCGCAGTCCCTGTGCTTTGCTAAGCTTGTTCTAAGTAGGTGCTTTAGACCACTGAGCCATCTCACCAGCCCAACATTTTTATTAATAAGGTAAAAGGAAAGCATAGCAGAAGTAAAGGTGATGTAATTCCTGGCAGTCACAAATGATTTTGTGTCATGGACATTTGGGGAGCTAGAATGAAAACTGGAGGGATTATGGCCATCAAATTACAAGGTGAGAGTCCAACCAACTGAAGAATTGTCGTGCATAAACTTGAAGATTACAATGGATTCTATCCTGAGACTGCTGCACAAGATTCAGGGGAGTCAAGAAGCAGCTACAACTTTAGGAAAATGAGAAGTAGAAGATTTTACATCATTTCCAATGTTTGTGCCTTATTGACCCAAATGTCCCAAGGTGTCTTAAATGAGATGGAAACATTCTTTATTTGCGCAACATTCTCTGGATGTTTAGAGTTCATCTGTCTGGGGGCATGGTACAGTGGAGTCTGTCAGTGTATCCTGTCAGTCAAGAAGGTTCCTGTCATATGTCATTGATGTAGTTTAGCGATCTCCAAGAAAAAGGCAGCAAATAATTTGGACCCCTCTATGTAGTTCCACCTAATAAGGAAAAACAAAGAGAAACTTTGTTACGATTTCAAATCAAATGAAAATGGAAACATCTACCATTTAGATAGAAGATCTGACATTATAAGTTCAATCTAAAGTACCTAACATACTTCTGAGATCCCAAGGTGAAAGGCACTTGGTAAATTCCATGGGAAATAAAATTATTATTAAAATAGGGAACCAAGAGGTGGAGGGATGTGGAGAAAGGGGAAGGAAAGCAGATGTCAGAAAATTAAAATGTGTTCTGTACATGTGCCAACTGCCTACAATGAATGTAATTATTATATACTACAAATGTGTGCTAATAAAAATAAACATTTGGAAAGAAAGAAGATGACAATAAGTCCTAGGCTCAAAAAAGAGACCATTTTCCTTGGTTTTATATCACTGACATGACAGATATCAGAGTTAGTGAGATTCTTTCTCAATGATCTGAGAGGCTTAGGAGCTTTGTATAACCTACCAATAATGCATATCTCAAACAAAACTAAATGTCATTGTTGTAGACTGAAAATCATATAACTTAATATTCATATGTTCAGGTCACTCCCAGACTGACTCTTGGGAAGGCCTTTGAGAACATGGAAAAATTAAATGAGGTCAGCAGAGTGGTCCTTCATTCCATGGGGCTGGTGCCCTGCCAGGGAGGAAGAAACACCAGAGCCTGCTTCTTAGTAGATGTGCTCTCTCACACCCCCTCTCCTCCTCCTCCGCTCTGCCATGTGAAGAGACTGGGAGAAGGTGGCAATCTGAGAGCCAGAAGGAGAACCTGCTTCCAGAACTGAGCGAGCACCCGGACATAGACTTCCTAGTCTGCAGCACCATGAAGAAATAAATCTCTGCTGCTTAAACCATATGTTTTGGTATGCACCATATTGTGTTCAATGTTCTGGTATTTCAGATGATGCTGGAACCTGCCCACATGGAGCCTCTGGGCTTGTGAAAGGAGACCAAACTGCACAGGGACATGCTGACCTGTTCATCTTCTCATTCTGAGAGTGCTCTCCATCATCAACAGCCCCCAGTGGAAGCATCATCACACTCTTTTGGACAATGTCTTGGAATATTTTGGCGATAGGAATGCTTGATCCATCTTGGATCATGTCAGGCTCTGTTCCAAACACTGAAACAAAAAGGAAAGAGAGCACTGGCATAAATAATGACCAGACTAACACTCACTGTTCCTAAAGGATGTGTTTGCTTTCTTTTCCTTTTTTGCTTTGTCCGTGTGTGTGTGTGTGTGTGTGTGTGTGTGTGTGTATGTGTTTAATTTGATGCCTGTAGTAAGATTCTTTGTATTATGTAACTTATATTCAAAAATGGAAATACAGTTAAAAAGAACCCAAAAGACATCTTCTTTAAAACTATCTTATGTTTAAAATTTCTTAACAAATTTTTTAATTTTTGTTTTTTTTAAATTTTTTTA